ATATGAATCGAATGTTTTTTGAATTATTTAAATCGGTTGATCGGTGTTCCCAAAATCGTCGACGAAAATTTGTATCCGCACACACACACAAACACACACACATACATCCATTTTTTCTAAGGTATGCCAAAATGTTCAGAAACCTTTGAAACGTAAAGTTATATAAAAAATTTCATTTTCGATTTTTTTTGCGATTACTATAACTTGCCCTACGGGAAGTTAAAAATTATATTCATATTCACAAAATATTATGTAAAATGGTGTATATGTGGTTATACATATATATTTGCCTTAAAAATCTGCAACTCCAAGATAAGATTATTCAAAGTTTTACTCTATGATGGCTCCAAACTCTAGAACTACAAGTTTCTGTTTTTATAGACACTATTAGCACTTCACAATAAATCACTATTCTTAAACACTTAATTTTGTAATAATCAAAACACAAATTTGATATAAACTGGTATAAAATCCTTGTTAAAAATTATGCTATCCTGTATTTATCACTCTATTTAATTTTAGTAAATCATTTCTATAAAATGTTTGTGATTTTAATAGCAAACCTAGTGCGTATTATACATTTATTTTACTAGCAGATTATCGTTAATTAAATAATTTATTCCAATTGTTAATTAATATTCATCCCAATAAATAACGTTTATAATTTATTTCCTATATTTATCATATTAGTTTCTGGGTAAAGATTTATTTATAATTGCAAATAGTTATTGCAGATGAATTATTATACAGCAATTAACACTTTTATTACAACTAGCATGTTTATAGTTTATTAGGAGTTGAACTATAATTATAAATTAATTTATAAAACAAATAACTATGTTGATGTAACTATCAAAATCAGATCAATTATTCTCAAGTTTATCTTATGGTTTAAATATTCTTAAAAAATCCCTTTAGAAAGTCCATAAGCTGTAATGTTTATAATGTCAGCACATAAAATTTATTATCACTTAAAAAAAACGTTTTTTTTAATTCATACTCAACAACACATCAACGTTTTTATTTGAATCTAATCATTTTCTGTTAACACCAAATCGCGACTGATTATTTGCCCAAAATTGGTGGTTGATATTCGCGGTAGGCGGGAAACATGCGTGATTTATCGCGGCTGAAAAAACGCCAGCCTTATACACTTCACGAGGTTCGCCCGGTGACTGGTCCGGCGTGGCGCATCGGAAACCCAGCGCGCAGGAATCGAGGGCCGCGATCCACTCGCGGGCTGAACCGTGACACAGTGCCGATATCTGTACGGCTCGAGGTGGAAGCTTAGAGAGTTTATTCCCTTACCGACGATGTGTCCATGATGTATGGGGTTGGTGGAAGGTTTTATAGTTAAAACTTTATAACTAGTGGGGCGCATGGCATCGCGCCTTAAGGCAAATTGCAGAAACTTCCCGTATCAAAAACTATTTTTTACGGATGAAGCGATTTGAATAATTCAAAAAAACATTCGATACGTATTGATAAGGAGACGAGATCCCTTACCGACAATGTGTTCATGATGTTTGGGTTTGGTGGAAGGTTTTATAGTTAAAACTTTATAACTAGAGGGGCGCATGGCATCATGCGTTAAGGCAAATTGCTGGAACTTCCCGTATCAAAAACTATTTTTTACGGATGAAGCGATTTGAATAATTCAAAAAAACATTCGATTTGTATTGATAAGGAGACGAGATCCCTTACCGACGATGTGTCCATAATGTTTGGGGTTGGTGGAAGGTTTTATAGTTAAAACTTTATAACTAGTGGGGCGCATGGCATCGCGCCTTAAGGCAAATTGCAGAAACTTCCCGTATCAAAAACTATTTTTTACGGATGAAGCGATTTGAATAATTCAAAAAAACATTCGATACGTATTGATAAGGAGACGAGATCCCTTACCGACAATGTGTTCATGATGTTTGGGTTTGGTGGAAGGTTTTATAGTTAAAACTTTATAACTAGTGGGGCGCATGGCATCGTGCCTTAAGGCAAATTGCTGGAACTTCCTGTATCAAAAACTATTTTTTACTGATGAAGCGATTTGAATAATTCAAAAAAACATTCGATACGTATTGATAAGGAGACGAGAGCCCTTACCGACGATGTGTCCATGATGTTTGGGTTTGGTGGAAGGTTTTATAGTTAAAACTTTATAACTAGTGGGGCGCATGGCATCATGCCTTAAGGCAAATTGCTGGAACTTCCCGTATCAAAAACTATTTTTTACTGATGAAGCGATTTGAATAATTCAAAAAAACATTCGATACGTATTGATAAGGAGACGAGATCCCTTGCCGACGATGTGTCCATGATGTTTGGAGTTGGTGGAAGATTTTATAGTTAAAACTTTATAACTAGTGGGGCGCATGGCATAGTGCCTTAAGGAAAATTGCTGGTACTTCCCGTACCATTTTTTTTTTACAGATTAATATTTTTGAAAAAAATTCACTCTGAAAAATTAGATTTTTGAGACACTATAAATTTTTGACAAAAATTTACTTTTTATTGAAAAAAAGACTTTTTGAAAAAAAGTGTATGTTGAAATATTTTGGAAATTCTGAACTTTTTTCAAAGCAATCGCACTGCTTTAACTGCATAGAGACGAAATATCGAAACGCGTAAGCGCCGCGCCGCCGTCTAGCAGATAAGCATTGGTACGGAACCCATGGCAATGTAAACAAAAATGCTTATTGTTAAAATCTTTATAAAATATCTGATAATTTGATGAGCATATGTGTAATGATCATTTTTGACCGCCAGATGGCATTTTTTTTTACTTTTTTTACTAGATCTCCGAAACTGCTAGACCTGCCTTCATGAAAATTTGATCAGTTCATCTTGTCAATACAAGTGAAATGTTTTTTGAATGATTCAAATCGGACGCTCCGTTCTCTTAAAAACTGAGTTAGCGTTTTTGGCACTTTTTGCCCCATATCTTCGGAACGGCTAGACCTGCCTTCGCCAAAAACTAATCAGCACGTCTCCTTATCAATACGAATCGAATGGTTTTTGAATGATTCAAATCGCTTCATCCGTGTTCCTGAAATCGTCGACGAAAATTTGTATCCGAACACACATGCACACGCACACACATACACATACACATGAACACACACACACACACATACATACATACATTTTTTCTAAGGTATGCCAAAATATTCAAAAACCTCTGAAACGTAAAGATATATAAGAATTTTAATTTTTGATTTTTTTGCGATTACTATAACTTACCCTATGGGAAGTTAATACCCTACGAGAAGTTAACTAGTTGTAAGCAGCATTTTGCCTTAAAGCAAGTTGCATGAACTGCCCGAAATGTAGGGTAGTGCAGGGTTCATCACCGTTATTTCAAAAATACGTAAAGTTAAATTTTTAAAGATAGAGATGAAAAAGATCTATAAACAGCCATTACCTTGATTCTTACATCCATATCAGGAGATAGATGGCAATGTTGGAAAATCCATAACAAAAGTATTAACTTACGTTATTTGATTCGGTTGTGCGCGCTGTTGTTTAGTTTACGAGACCTTAATATGTTTTTTAAGTATACGTTATCTAATTGTTTTATAAGATGTATGGTTAATTTTAAGTTAGATTCAACAGTTTTTTATAAAAGCTTACACGTGGACGGGGTAAAAAGGATCAACTGAACATTTACTCTGAAAAAGGTGTAACAAAGAAATTGTAAATAAAAAATAAACTATTGGTGTATGGCATCGTGACTTAAGGCAAATTGTTGGAACTTTTTTAACTTTGAAAAAGTTAGATTTTTAAGAAATTTAAATTTAAAAAAAAAAGACTTTTTGAAAAAAAGACCTTGAAAAAAAATGATTTTTTTAATATTCTGAAATATTTTGGAAATATTGAACTTTTTTTCAAACCAGTCGCGCTAAATATTGAAAAAATCGAAACGCGTAAGCGCCACGACGAAGTCTAACGGACAAACGATGTTACGAAACCCTTAGAAATGAAAAAAAATATACTTATTATTAAAATCTCTATCAAATATCTGATGATTTGACGTCTAATGATCATTTTTGACCGCCAAATGCCATTTTTTACTTTTTTCAATAGATCTCCGAAACCGCGAGACCTGCCTTTCCAAAAATTTAGTTTTTTATATTGTCGATACAAGTGAAATGTTTTTGAATTATTAAAATTGGACGCTCCGTTCTCTTAAAAATTGAGTTGCCGTTTTTAGCACTTTTTGCCAAAAACTTTTTTTTATTGTTTATTTGTTTACTTTGTATACACGTACATCACGTATATACATTTACAGGTAAAAAAGTAGCCTACCCATAAAAAGTGAATTTTGCAATAACGTAGCTACTATTTCATAAAATCCATTTGAAATTCAAAATAAAACTTTAGGCCTGTTAGCCCCTGGCCGTTTCATTTTACCACGCTTATGGGGTAAAAACAGGTAACAAATTTTTGAAGAACAGCAAAAAAACACATTTCTACAATAATGAATTAGTTGCAAATAATTATTACAATATTCACACATACACACACACACACATATATATATATATATATATATATATATTTATTTATTTATTTATTTATTTATTTAACGCCCTTGCAATATGGAACTTATATCACTTATATTAGGAACTGACATCTGTAGCAGTTCTATAGTTAATATTATAACATAAATATTACATTTATAATATAAACATTGAAATATGTTTTAAGTATTTATTGCACTAATGCGCTATTTTAATACTTATCATTAAAATTTAGTTTTATATGGGCATCCAATATTGAACTTAACATTTCGCAAGTTTAAACTTCACTATCTTCGATTTGAAATCGAAAATTATCGATTGTTGATTATTTTTTAATTATAAATGCATGTTTGTGTTGAAATTGATACAAAATTCAACAAAACAAGTTTTTATTTTACAAATCAAATCAACCGCCAAAAAGTTGTCTTTCATGCATTTGCTTTCCATCTATTTGAATGTGACATTTGCGTTTCTATGGCGGCAAGTTTATAAGAACACGTTTTGCGTTGAGTTTCAAATTTGTGCTTATTTTTAATATTCTGCATTAATGCTCTAAATGTATGGTTATAAAACTCGTTAATTATGTCTTAGTAGTTTAGTATTTAAATACTATTTATGTAAATTCATGTATTAATTTTGATTATTTTCAGAGATCTTAGATAATGGATTCGAGTGATTGGCAACATGTCATTGTTACTCATATGGTAAACCCTTATGGAATATGGGTTGCTAATTTATCAGAATATAATACAGTAGATTCTACGAATGTATTACTAGATGTTCATTTATTCTTAGAAAAAGAGTATATGGAAAAAAAGAATAGTATTGATAGTACAAAATATCAAATCGGACAGGTATTACATTACGGATCTGTGTATTTATGAATGTCTATATAGTTTATTATCTTTGTAGGTGATGCAAATCATTTGCTTAAAATAAATACTCAGATAATATTACTTTTGCAGTTTATATAAATACAAAACTACACTTTTTTTGAAATGATATCATTTCTCCTAAATTTTGACTGCACTTAACGCAGTTTTAATAAACTTCTTGTATACTGCTAAATACAAATACAGTAATTAATAATTTCAAACAAAAATGCATAATTCAACATTACATTTCTTGAATCCGAAAGATATATAAATCACACTTTGCACCATCCTCGTCATTGTGCATCGTTTCCTTGCATTCCATCATTTAGCAGTACATTTCTCTAATTTGAAAGTTAAATAAATCACATAAACTAATTCAGTTCTTAAACTTATTCAGTCTTCTTTATTGTGCATTTTTTATTTGAGTTTTTGTATATTCTGTGCTTTGTGCAAATCCAACAAAACTTACAACTTGTTAATCATAATATTATGATTATATTTAGTTTATTCTTTAATTAGCTTGATTAGTATTATTCTAATCTAGTTTGATATTAATTGTTATTTCCAGGTTATTGGTGTTTACTATTCTTCCATGAAAGTATGGGCTCGGGGTATCATAGACGATATGTATGGTGATAATTCAATGCTGATTTGGTTGACTGATTTTGGGTTTGCCTCCACCTAATATTTATTTCCTATACTAATGTACAGTTTATATATATTTGTTTTCTTCCCAGGTACCACTTATATAAAGTTACATTACCTGAATTAGTTATGCCACTCAGTACTGAAGGTTGCAATATAGCACCAATTATGATACATAAATTAGGAGTTTATGGTCTTTTGCCTGCACAGTTTGTAAGGCTTTTATGAGTATGCATTTTATATTCAGTTTTTAAGACAATTTTTATATTACTAGGTACCTGATGTTACATTTTCTTCATATGAAATTAAACCATGCAAATATTGGCTTCCAGGAGCAGTAAAAGTTATCGAAGATCATTTTAAAAAAAGTAATGGTTTGAAGTTCCTTAAAAAATGTGATATAACTCATTCTGATGGTATGATACAGGTAATTTTTATTTGCTTAATTATTCTTTCGTGTTTAATATTAGAATGGAACTAAACATGAATGATCACAATGTTTCTTCTTTAATACTTCCACATTTTAATTTTGCAACTTTCAAATTTTTTCACTCTTTTTCTCAGCTAATTTATGAATAATATTTTTTTTTTAGGTTATGAATTATTTTAGTAAAATAATGTTCTATCAATAGCATCATTAAGTAGACATCAATTAAGTAGACTCAAAAATAATTATTATACAGATTTACTCATTATATTAAGTTTAATAAATATTATATATATATATATATATATATATATATATATATGTGTGTGTGTGTGTGTGTTATGTTTTTATATAATACTTACAGCACTTTGGTAGAATTGTGATAATTTTGAATGGACAAGACGTAGATATTTGTGAAATTCTTGTTCGACACAAACTAGCAATTTATGATGAAAAGCTTTTTATGGAAGGTCAGTTATTAATGCTGTATATACTTAATAAAAACCTTTATAAATAAAAAAAATTATTATAGGTTTCACTTCTTTAAAAAATGTTTTAAGAATCGATAGACTTATTCCTCATAATGAAAAACATCTCGATATTGGGAATAGAATGTTGAGGTATGATAATTTACATGAATCTAATCATTTGAATTTTATCATGGATTGGACAAAAAATGCAGCCAAAGCTGCAAAGAAACATTTAATGGCTCCTGTAGAGGATGTGATCTTGTGAATATATGTAGCGTGGCATATAATGGACTGTTGTACTTAAAGAAAAAAGAAGTTTATGCTTAAATACTTGTTATTTAAAATGTTTATTTTCATATGAATTAAAAATATTTACGTATAATATCATGTTATCTTTAAATATATTTTGTATAAAATCCTTTAATAAAGAAAATAATTTGAAAGCAACACTTTTAGATTCCAATAAAAATCTTTAATTACAGTATAAAACATGGGCAGAGATAAATAAGCATAAACACGGATTTGTTAGATTCAACTTCATAAATAATATTTCAAATCTATTTTTACCTAGTTTTTAAACAAATAATATTGGTGTTGAAAAGAAATAAAAGAATAAAACACGAACAAAAATAAACTTACTTAATTATTTATAATTTATTTTATTATTTATTTTGAGCAAAATTACTTATATTTTTCATTATGAGAAAAACTCTTTAGAGAATAAGTTAAACCTAAAATAATTCATTTCTTTTATGAAGGTTATTGATGTTTTAATTAAATTTAGATCTTAAATCTCTAATTTATTCATTACATTTATTTATTAAGCAAATAATGTCTAGTTGATCAGATATAGTAAACAGTTAAATATCCATTGGCCTAAATCAATGTGATAAAACATAAACTTCTCCTTCGGGAAGTTAATAAATTAACTAATTTAATTATTTCTTTTTATTATTTATAAATATTTCTTCTAATTAATTTAAGGAATTCAATCAATACTTTTAAATAATCAATTGAATACTATTTGTAATAGCAAGAAACGGAAATTAAAAAGCATATAAAATAATATTTTCGAATATTAACAATTTCCTGTCTTATCTACATGAAGAAATTCGTAGCAAAATTAAACATTTGTTTATATTATGGATAATGCATCAAAAACAGCATATTAATTAAAAGAATAGAATCAATGTTTTTTTTATTTCGATGTTAATTAAAACGCATTCCCTTCTTAGTTTCGTTAAATGAGAGCTGGTGTGCTAGATTTTATTTTTTATAATCATATGATTTGATTTATAATTAGTGCTATTTCAATGCTAATGCATAATTAAGCTTGTGAGCATTAAGTGTTTCGATTTTATATTTACTTTTGAAACAAATTTTATTTGTACAATTTAATTAGCCTATTAACCGTGATAGACGAGTATACTCGTCGTGGAGAAGTGGCAAAATTTTATGCATTGAGTAGTATACGTCATGCGTATAAATAAGAAGCCACTAGCTATTTAAATTGCAACTTTTGATAAAAACAAAACCTATTCACAAATTTAAAGATGTTCAGTATATCTTATGCTTGCATAATATAGAAAATATAAACATCAGTTTGAGTTGATTTCATGTATCCTGGTTTGCTATGCTTGAAAACTTTACCAGGTCGCATAATAATTTATTTATGGCTATGGTAATGTTTTATAGATGTTAAGTAAAACTAGTGGGCATGGCATCGTGCCTTGAGGCAAATTGCTGAAACTTCTCATACGAAAAATTAATTTTTTTAAAGAAGATTGAATTTTTTTTAAGCTTTGAAAAAATTAGAATTTTGAGAATTTTAAATTTTTAAAAGAAATTGAATTTTTAGAAAAAAAAACTATTGGAAAAAATGTTTTTTTTTATTTCAAAATATTTTGGAAAAATTGAACTTTTTTTCGAAGCAATCGCATTGCTTTAGCTGCAAAGAGACGAAATATCAAAACGCGTAAGCGCCGCGTCGCCGTCTTATGGACAAAACGATGTTACGGAACTCAAAGAACTGTAAACATAATTGATACACCTTATTAAAATCACCATTAAGTATCTGATAATTGGATGTGCATAAGTCTAATGATCATTTTTGCACGCCACACACACACACATATATATGGAGAATCCGATTAGTATGACGCCGGATATATTGACAACCGCTTAATATGACGTAATCGCACTAGGAATTTGGTTTCCATATAAAATTCCTTAAAAAAAACAGCTGTCTAGTCGGATATATTGACATCGCTTACATTGACATGTCGCTTATAATGACCCATTTTTGCAAAAAATTATGTCCAATTATAATGACCGACATGATTTTACATGATGTGGCCAAGTCGACGAAAGCAATTGCTATGTCTTTTGTGCACAATAGCACCAGGGACTGTTTTCACAATAAAATTATGTAAAGAAATCAATCAAAAATCACTGATTACTTACATTAAAAAAACACATTTGTATGTTTATGGGCAGGGTAGACTAATTATTAATGGCCCACCACGGATATCTCATAAACAAATAAAATTAATTTTTTTTTAACAAATATATTTGATAGTAGAGGGCGAAAAATGTATAAATTCATAACCAGCCATCACCTTTATTCTTATGACTTTGCTATCAGAAGATAAGCAGCACATGAGTGGGATAAAAAGGATCAGCTGAACCTTTACTTTGGCAAAGGTGTAAGCAATAAAATAGTGAAGTTTGAAAAAAAGCAATTATACAAGAGATTAATTGAATAAATTGTTATTCCGGCTCTTCTGATGAATATTTCTGACCAATAGCAGATCAATGTAATATACTGTGTTGTCTTTGTAACAAATGTACCCACAGAATTAATATTTTGCATTGGTTCAAGAATGTAGCGTAAAATGCCTTTAAAATTTAAGAAAAGAAATTGCATCTGTTCGCCCCCTGGTTGTTCCATTTTACCCCGTATGTGATGTAAAATGGGTCAGATAAATGTTTAAAAAATAGTAAAAAATATAATATTTATATAATTAGGAATTATGTACGTATGTATGCAAGTTTCTCTGAACATAGTTCGATAGATGCTTCTTTGATGTATGTTATGTGTTGTTCATTGGGTTTAGACAGTATAATTACCGTAAGTCAAATTGAACCGTTGTGCCCCGCCCTACCCTTTGTCAATTTTATTTTATATTGAATTTTGATGTGTCATTTTTATTTTTAACTAGCCGGCCCGACAGACTTCGTCCTGTCAAAAAAAATTGTAATGTGGCCGTGTTTTGTGCCTATCTTTTTTCTATTCTTTGCAAAAAATTATCCTGAACAGAACCGTCACCCTGGTAATAATTCGGTGTGAATTAAAAATAATTAAATAAAACACTATAAGCACTTAATAGTAAGTAATTTTAATAATGTAAATCATAATTCAAAAATCAGTTCAATTTTCATTGTAGTGATTTGTGATAAACGATGTTTTTTATTTGATTACCTGGCGCATAGACAAACAAATCTGATGGTTTTCTAATACGGGAACAAACAACATACAATTATCCATGTGAGAAACATGGGTTTTCTAAATTAATACCACAAACACTTAATGATACCATAAACGCACTGGAAACGCATTGGGATGCATGGTGCGAGAACATCTTCTGCTTTATACTATCCTTTGAATATAGTTGGTCGATATTTTGCAACATAATAATTGCAGATCCAACCTTTAATTGAAGATTGTGAGGTGACAATCCTAGCAAATCCAGCGAGTTTAAAAACTCCGGCGGATCGTATTGGTTAGTTGCCGAATCAACTGATTCGCCTGTAATTTGTTCTTGAATTTTGAAATTTAATTCATTTACATCAATGTTTTTAGCTGCCAATATAGCTCGTTAATTAATAGAAAGATATTTCTATGTTTATATAAATATATTCAATATTAGATTATCAAAAACTACACAAAATGTCATGACATGGATCATCGTTTTTTTTTTTTTAAATTGCGTTGCCTACTCGATTAAAGAAAAAAAGGGCTGTTTTTAGGGTTTTCCCGGCAATTATTCGATTTTTGCTCGCCGTAAGAACCATCCTTGGACTTCAGCGAACATTTTAAAAAAAGATTTGGCCAAATTGGTCCAGGCGTTGTTAGAGTTATGCGCTTACCAACACATTTTGCGATCCATTTTTATATATAAGATTAAAACGTTTGTATAGGCTTTCCTTTTAAATTACTGAAACATGTAATATATTTGCATATTAAAAAGTTTTTCTTCAGTACGCTTATAATGACGACCGGTTAGTGTGACGAGATTTCGGCGTCCCTTCGATGTCATACTAAGCGGATTCTACTGTATATATATATATATATATATATATATATATATATAAACCACTTTTTCTAAGGTATGCCAAAATTATTTTCAATGTTTTGCGATTACTACAAAACTCGATTCCAAAGTCTATAATTTCTATGTGCGCCGCTCCACTCTACAGCTAGAATTTTTTCTTCAGTACGCTTATAATGACGACCGGTTAGTGTAACGAGATTTCGGCGTCCCTTCGATGTCATACTAAGCGGATTCTACTGTATATATATATATATATATATATATATATATAAACCACTTTTTCTAAGGTATGCCAAAATTATTTTCAATGTTTTGCGATTACTACAAAACTCGATTCCAAAGTCTATAATTTCTATGTGCGCCGCTCCACTCTACAGCTAGAATTTTTTTTTTTTTTGTATCTAGGCTAATTAAACAGAATTTATTTTGATTTTATTTCAACCGTGTTAAGCGTATTAACCGAAGAAGTGAAACCTTTTAATAACATTTTCAATTTTGTAAAATAAATCTATCTGTTTCATCAGATATCTTCAGCTTACTCTGGTTGACGAATATACTCGTCATGACACTACAGTTAGGGGGCGTCCATTAATTACGTGAGGTTTATAGGGGGAGGAAAGTTTAACAAAAAATCACGAAATATCACGTGGGTAGGGAGGGGTATAGTAAGATATCACATGTATTTATTATTTAACTGTTTTTTTTTGAAAAATTCAAACATTTTCAAAAAAAAATAAAAAAATTTTGTTTTTTCATGCAACTAAAAATACACGTGATGTTTGGGGGGGGGGTAATTTTGAATATCACCAAGGAGAAGAGGGGGTCAAAAATCCTTAAAAACTCGCTCGCGTGATTAATGGACGCGTCCTTAACTTGTTAATTTACTTCAATAAGTTTGAGTGTTTCCATCAACTTGTATACTAGCTCTCTAATTAAAAATCGTTTACTTGATAACCGTATAAAATGAATAAATTGCCTGCAATGCCACCGTCATTCGTTGGTCACCTTTAAACTGGGCATCATCGATAAATTATCTCATATGTATCAGTATTAGTTTTAGCGTGGTCTTTAACAATTTGTAAAAAAAGAATTTGGACATTTTTAGAACATATTATTCGCTAAAAAATTTTTTTTTAATTATAGCAGTGTTTAGTGAGTGGGTAATAAACAAAATAAAATTATCATGAAGGCGATATTGGCTAGCACTATACTTGTACTAAGTAAGTTATGCATTTAAATTATTTATTATTAATTGAATTGAAAGTCTACTGGAATAATTACACAAGATATACATTTTACGTTTTTGCTCTTGAAATTAAATCAATTAAAAACGATACGTAAAGCTATTTACTGAATCAAATATTAACGATCGAATAAATTTTTGTTTAAATTTTCATATACTGTTTTATTTTGATATATTTATAACGCATAGATAGAATTTTTGCGATTTTAACCTGTGTTTAAATATAAATTTATACAACAACTTTAAATATGAATTGCCAAAATTATTTTCATAATTGATCATACAAAAAGTATGTATTTCCCAAATCTTCTATAAAAACGTTGAGAAAAATGATTTAATTGTTTAGCAACAACTTTGAAAGGTAATTAATTCGTATAGAAATTATATCACTCTCATAATAATTATTTATCATTTTCATTAAATTATTGCAAAAAGTGGATTATAGCATTTGATAAGTAATTTAGATCATGATCGTTGGTTTATAGTGAACTCGCATAATTGTATTATTAACGGTCAATACGTCGAATTGAAAAATAATAAAATAAACAATTATTTATTTTAATGTTTATGTAATGTGTCAACTTTTAGCTAAAATAATACAAAAATAAATACAGTAGCAACAAAGTAATATGTATTAAAAATAACGTATACAAATCTAGAGAAAAACTTTAAAATACACATGCAAAAACTTTGCCACAAAATTATGGTACATTTTTTATTTTTAAATAAAATCCTTATATGGCAATTTTGTGTGAATTAAATAACTAACAAATTTTTATGGCAATGCGATTTTGTATTTTTATTATTTTTATATTTTAAAATTTTTTATCTGGTTTGGTTTACATTATTTTTATTCATTCTAAATATTATGTTGTTGCTACTGAATTTGTTATATTATTTCAGGTGAATGATGACTTATATTGAGTGTTGAGTCTATATATTTATATATATATATATATATAATATATATATATATATATATAAATGAATGTTTATCTTTTTGAAATTCCAAGTATTGGTCGTTTAGCTAGTACAATTATAAATTTATATTTATACTCCAACGTTGAAGTAATGATACTAATATTTTACCCGATGGTACTTCGCTTATGCTTATTTAAAAATGCAATTCAAAATCGTTATAAAAAATTACCATAATTTGTATAAAGTTTAAAAAGTCTCAGTATATATTGGATTTCATTACTTTGAAATCTAGCACATATTATCGGCCACGCGTAGTATTAAGTACAATAAATTAAACATCTCAATAGATCATCGATAATTTTAAATTACGGTCAAAATAAAATTTTGAACTAATGTATATTACTCAATGTCATTTTGAGATAAGATTATTCACGTGATCACAAAATTAATCGCAAATGCACTTACAGCTGATTATAATAGTACAAAGTTTGGTTTGTAAGCGATCAACACATTTATGTTCCGAACGATATGATTCATAGGTTTCGATTAAATCTAGATAATAAAAAATATGCAAGTATTTGCATTAAAAATATTAAAAATTATTAGCATTACTCAGTCAAATCAATGTTCAAAGTCTACCTGGTTAGAACCAAGTTAATCGTTGTTCGTGACTTGTACATTCTACAGTTTGTACTTTTATTATATTTTTTTTTTCAATATTACTGATTTATAATATATAAGCGTTGTTTTTCAAATTTGGATTTTACAATTAGAAAGTTTCTTATCATTAGTAAATACCGATATAAAACTTTTTTATTATTTATCAGTGACAATGATCCAAATAGTTTGGTTAACTACGGAATATTTATTCCAAGAGCGTTGAACTTAAAATATTATCAATGGCCTTTGATATTAGACTTTATATCACATTGTTTCAACATATATTTTTCGTTGTTTCTAATAGTAAATATCCTATAGGATATGTAAATTTCAACATACAGCACGTGGATTGATAAAAAAGCAATTGTCTATGACTAAACTAACACACATTCACATTGCAAGTGTTTTAAAATCTAATTATTAATACACTTAATTTTGTATAGAACTTGTTAAGAAATCGTTACCTTGCGCTTGTGGTCTTGAAAATAAAATTATAACAATTTCGAAGAGTTTTTATTTTGAATATCCTATTTTTATTTTGGAGATTACTCGCTTCCAAAAAAATATTTAGGATAAGTTATAAAAAATGTATTTATCTGAAAATTTAATGCAATATAATTTTTTTCAATTTTTCTTATTAAGTTTATATGTAAAAATCAGAATAATAAAAGTATTCTATGAGCTATAGTGAAAACATAATTAAAACACGATTACAAAATTTAAATTGAAAATTATCATGCATATTCAAAACAAATTAACATCATTCCGCATATTGTTCACAAGATTAGACTTAATTTTAATTTTGTATAGGCTATAAAATAGAATACAAGTTTCTAAAATGAATGAATGATTTTCAATTCCGATTTTCGGCCCATTACAATAACTTACCCTACGGAAAGTTAAAAAATTATATGAATATAGTTGTATGTGATCGATTATAATATGTATTATAATCTTATATATGTATTATAATTATATATATATATATATATATATATATATATATATATATGAGTTTTATTCTGATAGTTTATTGTTAAATAGTTTATTTATCACACAGTAAAATGTTCGAATACTGAGTATAGGAAAGGTATTTTTTGTTGAAATATTGTTTTTAGCCTAGCCCATGATTCTTTTCTAATCAATCAAACATTCCGTAGACAGCAATTTATACAAAGTCAATAAGCGCTAATTTGTTTTTGTTTCATAACTTGAAACTATGTATATCTCGATAGTTTTACATAGTTGTGTAGTTGTTTTATAGATTTGGTCTTTTTATAAACACTTCGAATTCGGGAATTTTTCGTTCAGTACACAATTTGATTTGCATACGTTTTGGTACAAATAAACTTTAAATATCCTGTTCAAATACTAATTACCAAGCAGATAACAAATCGCTTTCATAATCAAAAAAATTAATGTTTACTACTTGTATATAAAATAAGCAAAACAAGGGAAATTACAATCTGAACACTAGGAATTTGTGATATCTTATGTAAACAATTTCCTATTGATTAAAACGGCAATTTCATTGAATGAGTAAATAAAACAAATATTCTAGAAATATATATAACGCGTTTAATTTAAATATAACATTTTTGCGATAAATGATTATTGAGTAATAAATGCTTTTTGTAAAATGTTTTCTTTTTTTATAATTAAAACGGCAATTGCAGTGAATCATATATTGAATACTAAAAACATTTTAGCAATATATAACGCGTTTATTTTAAATATAACATTTTTGCGATTTATGTATTATTACATGAGTAATACATTCGTTTTATAAAATGTGTACGTAATAAGAAATCAGGAAACCATTTAAATTTTTTTTGGAGTAGATTAATAGATCAATTAATGGGTTAATGGTTTATTTTTACCATAAAAATTTTAATCGACACTATTATAATATTTGTGTAAAAAAGACACAGAAACAAATTACTTAACACTTAAGGATTTCTGATATCTGATTACGTAAGATAATTTTCAATATCTGATATCTTTTATTAACGCTTTTTCTTACTATTGAAACGCCGCAGTATCAATGAGTTAATAAACAAAATATTTGCACATTTTACTTATATACTTAATTCAATTTTTTTTGTAATAAACAATTAATGAGCAATACGTTTTATAAAATGATTTATGTGAATGAAATCACCGAACAGTCCGGAATGCTCGATAGTCCGGCATTTTGTGGAAAATTTCATTTTTCTCAAAATAATTCATATACATAAATATTTTTGAATTAATTTTTATCACTCACATTTCATATGTGTAGCGTTATTAAATTATATTTATTTTAATTTTATTAAAATATTTTTCCTAAAAAATTATATTCTTATTTTGATTATTTTTTTATAATATTAATATAATTTTTATAGGTTTAGTGCTAAATGTTTCTGGAAAGGATAACTTGCCAAATTCATTGGACGAATTAAGCAAATCTTTACCATCAGATGTGGCAAATCAGATAAACACGGCTGATTTGCCAAAACAAGAGGAAGCTAAAAAGCTTTTCAAAGAAAAATGTCGCAAGAATAGCGGGGGTGACGAAGCTTTTGAAAAAGCATCGGTAACTATTTGAAAACCAATTTACAATTTACTTATTTTTGATTATATTATTATAACATGTATATTTTTAATTAAATGTCAATGTATTTTTACAGACCGCCACTGAAGATTTGAAGGCATGCATTCTTAGTCAAATTAATGTTGAAATTTTTAAAAAAGAAGTCGAAGATGCTAAACCTACCGGTGACCTCGATCTGGTTTTCAAAAAGTACGATGTATAGAATATTTTTTCTTTTGTGGAACCAAATATGTCATAAACAGCAAGGAACAAATTAATGAATGATTTTAACTGATAAATCATAGAAATAATATGCAGGATTTTTAAAAACTGAAATATCAATGTAATGATAAATAAATTTTAAATGATTTTAGCTCAAACGAAATCACATGCAATCGCTTTGCGCAAAATAATACACAAATTAAATGAACGATATAGGAATTTAGGAATAATTTATGATTTTAGTGGAAGTATACTTGTTTATTATTTAATTAAGGTCGATATTATTAACCCTCCATCGGTCTGATATTTTTTCACCTTCGAACGGTCGGAAAGGTCTGGCTGGATCACCATTCATTATACATGCATTTATATAGGAAAATGAGTTTTTACGACAGGATTACTAGAAGTATTTTTCTTTTAATTGAAGTCGAAAAAAGTCTGGCCAGACCACGCCGACCGACGGAGGGTTAAACAAGGCAAATATTTTTAATCGCGTCTTTAGTATCAATCCGCTATCTCATATAAGAAATAAAATTCTGTATTCGTGGAACTTCATTCAAAATACTAATTCATATATCAAAGTATTAATCATGTTATAAATATCTTATAAATAAAACTTTAATTCTAATTGCATGGCTCAATGAAATGTTGAATGAAAATTTAAATAAACGACGCATATCAAATGCAATCGCTGTACGCAAATTAATTCAAAATCATTTTTAATAAAATTTATTCGTATATTATTTGATTAAGAATAATATTATTTAATTTTTTTTTCATTAGATACTGCAGAAAATCTCCAGACATAAAGCAATGCGTGTTTAACTTCACAGCTACATTAGAACCTTGTTTGGAACCCAAAGAACGTGAAAATAAAAGGGTACTCGAAACAGTAGCTAGTAGTTTAGCTGATTTTATATGCTTTAAAGAGGGTGACAGGATAGCACGTAAGTGGAAGTTATTGCTATATTTTTACGATGAATATATACTAGTGGTGCATGGCATCGTGCCTTAATAACTTAATAAAAACGTTCCATACAGAAAACTTAATTTTAAAAAAATATTTTGAATTTTTTTCAAAACTTTGAAAAATTAGATTTATAAGATACTTTGAAATTCTTGAAAAAAATGACTCATTTGAAAAATTAGTTTTTATTTAATTTTGATTTTTTTTGAAAATTTTGAACATTTTTTTAAAGCATAGTTGATTTAGAGACGAATACCAAAGCGCGTAAGCGCCGCGTAGTCATCTAACGTGGAAACATTGGTACCAAACCCATATAAACGTACAGAAAATTTGTACTTATTATTATAATCTTTATAAAATATCAGATAATATGATGTACATATATCTAATGTTCAGTTTTGACTTCCAAATGTATTATTATTTACTTTTTTTATTGGATATCCAGTGACGCTAGACCTGCCTTCTCAAAAAATTTTACTAGTTGTTCATTTCGTCAATACAAGTAAAATATTTTTGTAATTATTTAAATCGCACGCTCCAGTTATCTCAATTATATTAATAATTGTTTAGGATGCTGGAATATTTGATTTACAATCGATATTGTTGCTTATGTTGAGAAACCTCTTAATTTATTGGCAGCGACATCCGTTGTGTCGACTTCTAACTCAATATTTATCTCTGTATAGTTAAATTATTGAAAATTCTAATACGTTATTAGTTTTTAGTTTCTTAGGAATATAGTTTTTTTATTTTTGAATACAAATTTATTGATAACGATGCTATTCCGTACAGCAGTGTCAATCCTTCAAAAAACACTACAGTAGCGGAAGGATTAAAATAATTTTTTTCAACATTTTATTTCCAAATATAGCCCTCTTCAAAAATTAGTATCAATGGTGATAAAAAATATTTTTCTTTTAAGTTTTTATTGCTGAGGGAGGTCCAGAATGTCTTCAATCTAAACAAGAAATGATCAAGAGCTGTTTCAATTCAACAATGGGAAAATATGCCCCAACCGAGACACCAACAATAGAAAATTTACCTAAATTGTTATTAGATGCCGAACAATGCCAGTAAGCAAATATAAATAAAATAAGTGAATACATACTCAATCATATGTTTATTGTAGTACAATGAACTTATTATGCTGATTTCAGAGATATCCAAAATTTACAACAATGTATTGTGACTGAGCTTGAAAAGTGCGAAGAACCTACTCCTGCAAATATAGTAGATTCTCTGTTCAGATTTGTCCGTAAACAAACGCCTTGCGCTTCAAAACCTGTAAGTTATAAAACAAAAAAAATTCATCACGTGTAATAATAAAACTTATGATTTATAATGATAACACTAATTTTCTAATTGATAATTTAGCAATTTATAAATAATCCTGTGTTTCAGTTGACTGCGCGTTCGGTGGACGATAGAATTGAAGACAGTCATAATGATGCTAGAAAAACTGTTGTACACAGTTTGGTCATGATCATAGGTTTATTCTTAATTTTACAGTAGACCGATTCATAGCTTAATATTTAAATTAATTTCATAAGTTCTGTTGTACATAAATATACTATAGACCTGTATTTTTTGCATACTCTTTAAAGTTATTATTTATATGGTTTAAACAGAAAATAGCTCACTTGGTTAATAATTAGTTCTATATTTTATATCTTTATAAATGGACATTATGTATTTTGTTATTTGATGTAAATAAACGCACAGTAATACTTTCTGCATTTACTTTCAATATATGTTTTTAATTTAAAATTAAAATAGTCTTTTTGGGCATTGCTGCATCTAGTTAAAATATAAAATCAGTATTAAATCTAATAATAAATATCTAAATCTATCAATTAATTAACATAAAACATAGAGGTTGTTTACTATTCATTTCTTTTATCTATTTTTACCAAATTGAATTTATTTTAAGGGAATGAAGAATACATATACAGTGTTATATTTAAAAAAAAAAACGAATACGACTAATTGAGTATACAAGCTGCCATGTCCACTTATTGTCAGAGGACATGAAACAAATAATCCAGAACTGCAGTATAATAACTAGCTGTAAGTGGAATTCTGTCTTAAGGCAATTAGGGCATCGTGCCTTAAGGCAAATTGCTGGAACTTCCCGTACCGCAATTCAAAATTCGAGTAATTAAAAATAGTCACTAATAATAATCATTAAAAGTTGATCAATGATTTGAAACTTTTAATAGCATTTCGAACCATATTAAATCTTAGATTAAGATAGAATCTTAAATCATTTATTTTGAAATATTTTGGAAATTCTGAACTTTTTTTCAAAGCAATCGTAGTGCTTTAACAGCATAAGTCAAAAAAACGCCATTTGGCGGTCAAAAATGATCATTAGACATATGCACATCGAATAATCAGATATTTTATGGAGATTTTGACAATAAGTATAACATTTTTTATTTTCTATGGGTTCCGCACCAATGCTGCTATTCCGTTAGACGGCGGCGCGGCACTTACGCGCTTTGACATTTCGTCTCTATGCAGTTCAAGGAGTACGATTGCTTTGAAAAAAAGTTCAGAATTTCCAAAATATGTCAAAATGAAGAAAACGTTTTTTTTTTTAAAAAAATTTTTTGTTTTCAAAAAAAAAATTTTTTTTTCGAAAAAAAGTAATTTTTTCTCAAATTTTTTCGAAGTAAAATTTTTTCAAAAATGTAAAATAATAATTTTTGGTACGAGAAGTTCTAGCAATTTGCCTTCAGGCACGATGCCATGCGCCCCACTAGTTTTTATAAGAGCTTGGGGCGCGGTGCGAAAATGTTTGGAAACCACTGACTTAACAAAAAATTGAACTTCATGTAAATTTACTGTGGTTGGTATCTTCGCTGTCAATTCGACGGCACGTTTTCTTCATAACCCCAAAATTTTCGTATATACGGTCAAACTTACCATAACACATCAAAATTATTTTATACTTTTAACAATGTTGAAGCTAATATAAATATAAATAAATAATAATTAATTGTACTATTATTTAGCAGAATTTAGACGATTGCCATAATTTGGAAGATAATGCAATAATGGTGAACGATTGTCTTGAACCGTTCGGTAACAATATTTAAAAACAAATAATTATTTTAGATATTGATTATACTTGCTGTTAAGTAATGTTTTTGATTTGGTAAATTATGATATATATATATATTATTACTTATTACTTATATTTGCATTATTTTATTTATAGTTTCTTACAATTACTCAGATATTTTTACCACTCGCTATAGACAATTTTTATCTTTTATTTAAAACATGTAGACTGCCAACATAAACTTTTTCAAAACTTGAATCTAAATTCGACCCATGAAATGGAAGATTTAAATGACTCTAAACTTGCCTACGTGGTGGCTACAGAATGTGCAGTATCTTTGTCAAAGAACTATATTTTACATTTAGCAGTAAAAAGGTTTGTGAATTTTTTATTAGAATCAGTTTACTTTTGAAATTGATGCTTTATGATATGCAATGGATAATGTGGATTATCGTAATGTGAGTATTTATTACATAGAGATGGTGATCTAACTATAGCAGCGGGTCTTTCAAATGCTTCTTGTCTTATATATAAATTAAATGATAATGGACTGATACAGTTAACATCAATAAAAGGACATGAGGAAGGGATTACAGAATTAAAATTCGACAAAAATGATCAAAATTTATTGTATACCTCATCATTGGATGGCACAGTTAAACAATGGGATTTGCGAAATACAGCACAATCATGCTACACCTTAAAAGGTTAATATCATTATTATATAACTATATATTAGGCATTTAATTAGCATAATACTTCTATTTTAAGGACAAGATTCGACAAAAACACCTTTGTTATCATTTGATGAAGATATATCTGGTCGTTTGTTGTGTGCTGGCACTGAGCATACTGATGGCGACGCTTTTCTTCTATTTTGGGATTCAAGAAGTACAAAGTTACTTGGTGGCTATTGGGAATCACATGATGATGATATAACACAAGTATGTTTGTGGTTTTGTATTTGTTTCTGATTAATTTTCATAATGATTAATTATTATGGCCATTTATATATTTGTTTATTTGAAATATCATAATTTAAATTAAACTTTAAAAATGAGATGTAAGGTTTAAGTATGGGCACATAATTAATTACAGGTGACGGTAGTTACATTAAAAAAAAACTAGTTTGTTATGTGAATCCGTGTTATAAGGTACAAAGAACTAGTACGAAAAGAGGGGTTACTTTTCAAGAATTCAAGGAAACAAGGAAATATTGTAACATTTATTAACTTTTTAAGAAGTTAAACACCACAATACATGAATTATATAATTTTTTTTTGACATAACTAACAAGTAAGCTATTCGATGCAATCCTTATTTTTTTGCAAGATGTCTTCATCCTTTGAGCAGTTTTTTGTTCAATTTTCTATTACTTGCTTTTAGCAAAATGTATATATTTAACACATGCAAAGTTATCTTCATTAAATTTTTATGCTCATTTTCTCAATTTTAAACTCAGTTAGATAGAACATACGAGCTCGAATAATAAATAGCAAACCTGCCTTAATATTACCATGTTGTGAGGGGGATGGTCTCAATTCTTAAACCATGTTATAGAAGTACTGTGTTATGTGGGTATTACCTGTAACTTGTTCATGTAGCTGTAATAAATTTGTTTGATTTACAAAGTTTTTTTTTGTGAATTCTTCAAAACAATTCTATTATTATGAAATGTATTTGTATATAATTAATATATATTTTAGGTTCAATTTCATTTATACAAGCGCAACTTGATGATGAGTGGTTCAACGGATGGTTTAATAAATGTTTTTGACATAAGTCAGTCAAATGAAGATGATTCATTACAATATACATATAATACAATGAGCTCAGTACAGAAATTGAACTGGTTTAAAGGAAAAAATAATTCTGAAAATATATCATGCATTACTCATACCAATGATTTACAAATATGGGATATGGAAAATTGCTCAAGGATTGCAAATTTCAGGAGATCGAGTGTTACTAATTTTACCAAAGTGAATATGCTATTGTTCTATCAAATATATATATATGATTTAGTAGTTATTTTTGATGTTGAGATATATGAGTAAGCTCTTATAGGGCAATACATCAATGTATCACATACAAATCATTGCAGAAATAACTTAACTTTTCACATTTTTGTCAAATAAAATTATCATTATTTCATTTACATTTTACATAAAAAAAGGATGAAAATTCATTGTGTTGACAAGTTAGTTGTATAAATGTTAGCGCTAATTTTTTCTGCTGTGTACACACATCTTTAGATGTAAGCTACCAAAGTTAATATCCACTGATGATGGCATTAAATTGAATATCGAAACGTTTGGAATTAAAGATTAATTTATAAATCTTTGTTTTTTTCTTTGATGTATCGCCTTATAAGAACTATATATATATATATATATATATATATATATATATATATATATATCTCGAAAACGGCAAAACCGATTTGGCCAGTCTCAGTCTTGAAAAATTTGTGCTAATCAGTAGGTTGCCGGAAAGATGAGAAATTATTTCAAAATCGCGTAAAAACTTTACATTTATAATTTGAAAATTTTTGTAGGAGCATAATTTAAATAAAACAATGGACAGTGGCTAATACAACATTTTGACATATGATGTTCAATTACGTTTAATAGGATGCTTTACATGAATATTATTTAATTATGATTAAATTGTTGTAAGTACTTTTGTTTGTAGTTATATTTATACACAAAAACGTTAATAAACGGATCGCAAGTGTTACTAGAAACTCAAAATATCAACTTTTTTGAAATGTTAATATGAAAATGCACTTTTTGGCGCTGTAGCACTTTTTTTTGCAAATCATATTTTTCTCAAACACTGTGCTCTGAAAGATCTCATTTGTATAATTATATACTCATTGGTATTTATAAAACATTTTCTAGGTTATATTTTTTATTTATGTTATTTAAATTCAGAACTTAAATTTGGTATCGATAAAAGGGACATTTGTCGAATAACATTTTCCCAGTTATAATTTCCCAGAATTTATCGAAGAATAGATAGTAATATATGAAGGTCCGGAGTTAAAAAAGTCCACCACCAATGTGTCAAAAACCAGTAAAGTTAAGCATTGTTTAACAACAATATTTGAAAGTAGAGGGAAAAAGATGTATAACCAGCTATAACCTTGATTCTCATGACTTTGCTATCGGGAGATAAACGGTAATCTTTGAAAATCCATAATATAAGTATTTTCTTCCGTTGGTAGTTTTTTAGCATTAGTTAGTAAAATGTAATTATTTTGTAAAATACCTTTAAAATTAAAATAAGACATTAAACCTTTTTACCACCTGGCCGTTCCAAGTTATCTCGCGTATAGAGTGAAAAGGTCTAGATAACAAATTTTTGAAAAACAGCAAAAAAGCACATTTCTACAATGATGAAGTAGCTGACAGTTTTACTGAACGTAGTCAGATAATTTTTTGTTTGAAATGTGTTATTTGTTGTGATGTAATTGGTTTGATTTTTATAATATAAATTAATATTTGCTCAAAGTCAAAATGGACCTTTGTGCCTCGCCCTACTCCACATATATACTTTTTATTAAATTTACTTTGATTTATTGAATGTTTCTTGAAACTTTTCAAAAAGCAGGTCAAAGAAGAAATACTTAATTTATTTTCTATCTCTCCTCACAGAAATTTGAAAATTTTGTTTAAGCTCAGTAATATTATTCACAATTATACAAAAAATCCAGAATCCAAAAAGAATCTGAAAAACTTGAAACGTAATCAATAAGTCAATAAGAATTGGATTATACCATGTTTTCTATAAGAAAGTGTATACGACTTCTAGTTTGATTGTATTGACAAAATATAGACAAACTAATGCGGTTTATAATACCTCATTGTATATAGCATTCATTGTAGCATTGTATATTAACATTTTCGATTCTCTAGAAATTGTTTAGAATATACCTTACTTCAAAACAACGTTTGCCCGGTCAGCTAGTATATATATATATATATATAAATATATATTTGTGTTAGGGTGGTCCTTAATATGGACATTTTTGAATTTCTTTGCTCCCAAGGGTTCAAATACTTCCAAATTAATAAAAATAAATCTTCTAAAAATTTCAGCTCTTACTTAGCATTTGAATAGTCCGCAATTCTATTGAAAGTGCACTGTACGGATTTACACCCTCCGTGCGTTACGGCCGAGTTGAGTGATTGTGAATGATTCGTCATTCGCTCTCGATGAAATCATTTTTATACGGGCCGATTGTGATTAGACGTCGTGTATGTGAATAGACATCTGTCGTTGTATGCGTACCGGCATCAACATTGTATGCGTACCGATATCAACAAGAAAATCGGTATAGATAAATAAACATTTTAAATGTACATCGTAGTACAAATCTTGATTTAATTAAAAATGCTTGAATTAGAAGAATATTTTAGCCTGTTCCTTGAAAATTATAAAACAAATTAAGCATTCGTGCAAATAACAAAAAGTCAACTAATGTAATTAAGGATTTTGTCAAGTATTAATTTAGTAGTAGTAAAACAAGTATTCTATCTCATTTAAGCCAACGAGATCTCGATCACGATTTTGATCGATCCACATCTTTTGTCTTCAAGAAATAATCTTTCATTAATTTGGTGCGTGGATCATTAGGGATGTGCTATTGTTCTTTTAGAATAGCCTATACATATATATATATATATATATATATATATATATATATATACAGTAGAACCTCCTTATTCGCGGCTTCTTCATTTGCGTTTTCGCTATTCGCGGCCAAAAAAATTGCGACCCGATACCTGTATTCGCGGCTAAAAATTTCGTTATTCGCGGATTCCAGTGTATATGAAATGTAATATCTTTTGTAAATGCCGTCTTTTTGACCTATATAATTGCGTTGCGTTCGCCGTCTTCTCAGTTATCAGAGTTTTTGATCAAGTTTTGATCAACAAACAGGGAATGAATGAATCAATCATATATGCATGCTTTATTTCTTAATTTTTCTCATTAAAATTAAACATTAAAATTAAAATTAAATTAATATAGCAATAAATAAAAATTAAATTAACATGTCAACTAAAAAAAGTTGGGCAAGAAAAAGTCAGTGTTGCCCCTTAAAATTAAGATAGAAATACTTGATCGTTCACGCCTTAAAGTCTTTCGCATACATATCGCGCTGATATAATGTTAATGGATCTATCGTACGATCGATAAAAAAAAATCGGGAGATAAAATAAGATCATCTCAGTGAAGGTTTAAAGATGGCAAATGATCTGTGTGATTTTTTTAAGAACATTGATCAATATATGGAGAGAAGTATTCTCTTTAAGAGGCAAATTTCAGATGTGACTGCCGTTTATCAGTCTGAATTAAAGACACTTTTGAAACCTAGTGAGCAAGAAAAAATTACAAAGTTTTTCAAAACTTTGCCTATTTCTAAAAAAAAGGAAGTGTTTAATGTATAGTATAATTAATCAAATGCATTTATATAGTTTTAATATTTATTTATATAAATAATAATATAGTTTTTTTTATATATATACACTGTTCATTATTTTGTCACCTTGGAACGTATACCTTACATTCCCATATAAAATGTCATCTTGTATTTGCGGACTTTTCATTATTTGCGGATTATTTGTCATCTTGGAACGTATTCCCCGTAATCCCATACAAAATGCCACCCTGTATTTGCGGATTCTTTATTCGCGGCATTTTTGCGGAACGTATCCCCCGCGAATAAGGAGGTTCTACTGTATATATATATATATATATATATATATAAATTTGGAAATATGAACAAACAACACTCTTTTTTGCGCTAATTTATTAAATGATAATTTTTACAAACGTTCGAGACTAGGTTTGTTTCATCATTTGTGTGTTATAATTTAAAATTTAAAATAACCTAAATTAGCATTATGTGTTATCCGTATTAAGTTGTTCGATATACTCGGTTATAGTCGGATCTAATGCTGGAAATTGGTGAAGCATACCTTATCCACTCAGAATACATTTGTTATATATATATATATATATATATAACATACTATTACTAAATGAGAAATATCCTATAAATCATTTCTTATTTTTACATTACTTATTTTTACATCATTTTTTTAGAGAATCAGATGTGATGACTGCTATCTAATAAACACTCATAAAACAAAAGATTCTGATGTGATGGTTATAGTCGGATCTAATGCTGGAAATGGGTGAGGCATACCTTATAGAAAAACAATTTTTGTCTAAATATGTATTTCATAGAAATTAATCTTTTTTAAAATGTTGTAAATATGTATAAACAAGAAGGTGTGAATCATGTTTGTTTTTTGATAAAATATTCAAATTTCATATTTATTAATTTGATAATGTTATTAAGCATTATTAAATTTTCTATTGTAACTATGCTTTTTAATTACTTTAGAGAATGTTTAGAAGGTTTGTTATTGGGGAAGGAAAATCTTCAACATGCAATATCATTTCCTGATAACAAGCAAATTATTTGCAGTTCATTCTTTGATGAAAAGGTATTTTTCATTTATTGTGATGTAACTAGAATTTTTATGAATATCAAGATTATTTTCTTCATTATTTCTAGAATGAATTATTCATTATGGGTGGCGAAACAGGAATACTTTCAGTGTTCAAACCTGAAAATTCTGTGAACTTGAATGAAAAAAAGAATACAAATATAGTTTCGAATAAAAAGATAAATAAGTTAAAACCTTACTGATAATTATGCTACTGTTTATATAAAATCAATATAGGATAAATAGATGATATTATCAGAGATGAAGCAAAAGAACCATTATAAATGAAGTCAAAATGCAAGTTCAAGTGCAAATTTTGACTAGTATTTGCAGCAATAATACATCATTGTAAAATGCTCAGTAAAAATATTTGTGGTAATTTATACTACTAAATTAAAAAATATTTAATTTAATTAGAAATAATAGTGGATACTATATTGTGTCAGTAGTAACATTTCAATTCATTAAAGTATCAGTAAATTTTACTGTACCTATTAAAAAAATTTAGCTGATGGATTTTGTTTTAAAAAAAACTATTTCTTTTTGAAGTTTTTTTTTCTTTTTAACTAATTTTTAGCTTTTTATAGGGGTTTAGGCTAACCGTCCATCATTGTTTTCGTGTATTAGAACTTCAGTATTGCTTCATGAAGATTGTAACGAAACTTTTGAACGCTTTTGAAATGAGTGAAACATGTAGAGTTTTGACATGTTAAGAATTGAGCCAAAAACTTTTATTCCAAAACAATTTTTTGGAAAAGTGGAAAAGTGGTAAACCATGATGGGTTACAGGGGAAAAATTTTTGTTCATATTAAATTTAATTGAATTAATAAATATATTTACTTGTTTGAACTGCACCTTATTTTCGAAAGTTTACCAAACATGCGACCGATGTCGCATTCCTAATTCGTATGCATATTTCAATAGCACATCCTCTAAAACAAGGATGAGCAACCCGCGGCCCGCCGGATGTTTTTCTGCGGGCCGCAGAAAGTATTTCTCAACTACAGATTACTTTTCTAGACATTTTATCAAATACGGCTGTAAAGGCTAATTTTGTTGTCAGTCAAATACTGACGTGTATATACTTGGCACCGCGATGGTGGAAATTGGCAAAACTGATATGACCTGATTTTTGACGATTTTTTTGCTGTCGATTGGTGTAAACTAAAATTTTTTTGCTCTTTTCGTTCTCGATATAAATGGGTGGGGCCAAATTCGGTGCTAACTATATATATAGTCAGCACCGACCCCTCTAAAAATGCAAAAAAATTAAAATTTCTTTTTACTACCGTTATCAGTGATTTTTTTGCTGTCGAATGGTACAATTAATTTTTGGAAAAGTTTTACCCATCATAGATTTTCACGCATAGGAAAATTCCCATTTTTGCCAATTTAAAAAAATTGACAAATTTGAAAATGCCCAATTTTTTTGCTCGCTTACTTAAATATAAAACAAAAAAAATTTTTTCAAAAAATTTATTTTTTCACCCCTTTTCAGAGAGGTTGCCAATTTTTTTGGGTGTCTACAGGTCACTTTTTCAAAAGTTTAAAAATTGTCTCGGAATCTGTGATTTTTTTGCTCTGCGATACAAAAAAGAAAAATTCAAAAAAAATAAATTTTAATTTTGATTTTTTTCGTAGTATAGAAACGAATAGTTTGCGTTCATGATAAGTACTACGATGCTCCATTTATTTACTTACTCCCAAAACAGACTTAATGAATCAATTAGTTAACAATATTTCAGTAATTTCAGTAAATAAATAATGCGTGTTTGGCCACCCGCCGCCGAGAGACTCTACGGCGTAGAGAGTCTCTACGCACTGGGTCTCTCGTAGATGAGCGAGTGAGAAAGCTATACGCTATTGAGCGAGTGAGACGGCTATATATATGCACCGCGATTCCTGTTACATTTTAGCAAGTTCATATAAATATGGTATGAGACTATTAATTCCGATCGAGCACATATTTTTGTAAAGGTATTGGTGATGATTTTGTTATATACTTAATTGGGCAAAAAATAAGCATATTTAAAGCGGATTGCGATCCGCTTCCATACTACGAAAAAAATGAAAATTAAAATTTATTTTTTTGAATTTTTCTTTTTTGTATCGCAGAGCAAAAAAATCACAGATTCCGAGACAATTTTTAAACTTTTGAAAAAGTGACCTGTAGACACCCAAAAAAATTGGCAACCTCTCTGAAAAGGGGTGAAAAAATAATTTTTTTGAAAATTTTTTGTTTGTTTTATATTTAAGTAAGCGAGCAAAAAAATTGGGCATTTTCAAATTTGTCAATTTTTTTAAATTGGCAAAAATGGGAATTTTCCTATGCGTGAAAATCTATGATGGGAAAAACTTTTCCAAAAATTAATTGTACCATTCGACAGCAAAAAAATCACTGATAACGATAGTAAAAAGAAATTTTAATTTTTTTGCATTTTTAGAGGGGTCGGTGCTGACTATATATATAGTTAGCACCGAATTTGGCCCCACCCATTTATATCGAGAACGAAAAGAGCAAAAAAATTTTAGTTTACACCAATCGACAGCAAAAAAATCGTCAAAAAATCAGGTCATATCAGTTTTGCCAATTTCCACCATCGCGGTGCCAAGTATATACACGTCAAATACTGGTAAAAACAACTGTTCGCAGAAATAGCATTTCCTGATAAAAGGAATATTAATTTAAATATTAGTTTAACAATATTGTAAGAAAAATTAAAAAAATCGTGAATTTAAAGACTTCCTGACAAATTAGAGCGTGAAAATGGCGATGTGCTTTTCAATACCAAAGTAAGTTAGCTCAATAGTGATGCAATGCTTAAAGGAGTATATGATCCAAATGGCGAACTATACAATTGTTTTTGGATATGAAAGAATAATTGTAGTACTTTCGTCATTTTGGTAATAAAGAATAATATCTTTTGCAGTATCTTGTGTTTTATATTCCATTTTCAGAAAAAGAAAATGTGAACAAATTTTAATTGTGATTCCAAATGTTTAAAGCTAATAAAACAGCTATTTTCATGTAAATGTTTTCTTTGCCATTTACCATGCAAAATTATACAGATTTAGAAAATGTATTTTTTCAGTAAAAATCGCAATTTTTTATAAATCTCATGTCAGCACAGGGACATTTTCGCTATTGAAAAAAACCCAAATAAAATTATGATAAATTATTTTTTTGGAAGTACGTATGTGTGCGAAAAATTTCACAGCCCCTCAAAACAAAAGTCGCTGGATAATAATTCATTAATTCAGAAAAAATGCTGGATTGAAGATTGTGCCAGATTTTAAATGTTTTTTCACATTTTGCCTCCCAATTTTGACTATAGATTTATCTTCAGCGGTAAAAGTACATTGGAAATACATCGGAAAACATATGTCACATACCCAATCTAGACAACTTTTTTTGTGGACCCGTGTTAATTTCAACCATGAAATTCATAAAAAAGTGCCACCTATCAAAACTGAGTAAAACATATCAAAGCTGCATACTAGTTGCTACTTTCCGCATTAAAAAAATAAAATAAAGAACAAAATTTAAAAAAAAACGGCTGATATTGATCAGCTAATATAAAAAAGCAGTGCCAAATTTCTTATTAAAGTTTTTAAGTAAATTAGTTTTTCCGTTTAGCTATTATTTGTTTTCATTTTGTATTAATATTTATAAACACTTATAATATACACTCGTAAATATATAAAATATATACTTTTTTCAATTTTATATTTTTGTTCTTTTTGTGGCAATTTTGTAATTTTTTTGCAATTACAACATTTCCGCGCTCAGACAACAAATCTTTTGACTTAATTTTAGTTCAGACTTTTGAGTTCATGAAAAAGCTTCAGTATTAATTAAAAAGAAAAAGCAATTTATTTTTAGCATGGGTTGTACAAATGTAACATTTTTTTTAAATTTTGTTCTTTATTTTAATTTTTTTAATGCGAAATGCAAAACTACATACAACTCCAAATTTCCATTACTTTATAATAGTCATTTTAGTAGTACAATCATTTTTTATTTAGATCGGCAATAGATCAATTAACCTTTTCGTCTTTTTTGTGAACGTTTTTAGTAGAAATTCGATCAACATTTTTCTGAGCCTATAAAAAAACTTGAATTTATTCGCTCTATTCGCTGCAACATTTTAAAAACAATAGTCAAATATTGGCAACGAAATGGTTACTATCGATAAAACTAACTGATTTGCAGTATAAACTACTGTACAAATATTTCCCGACGTGCATTAGAAATACATAGTTTTTGAATGACTTGCAAAAAAAACCTAAAAATTTAATATTCAAATCTGAAGAAAAACTTTTTTTGAGAGAAAACGGAGTTTTTTTTTTCAGGGTACTTGATATCTCACTCGTTTCGCTAAACATAGCATAACCTAATTCAGATGTGAATGTTAGACCATAATTTTTTTTGACCAAAATTTTTTGGACCAAAATTTTTTTCACCAAAATATTTCTTCCCAAAATTTTTTTGACCAAAATTTTTTTGACCAAAATTTTTTTTTCCAAAATTTTTTTTCAAAATTTTTTTGACTAAAATTTATTTGACCAAAAATTTTTTTCCAAAAATTTTTTTAACTAAAATTTTTTTGAACCAATTTTTTTTTCCAAAATTTTTTCGACCAAAATTTTTTTTTACCAAAATTTTTTTGACCAAAATTTTTTTGATCTAAATTTTTGTGACCAAAATTTCTATGTCCAAAAATTTTTTTGATCAAAATTTTTTTGATCAAAATTTTTTGGGCCAAAATTTTTTTCCCAAAATTTTTGTGACCAAATTTATTTTGTCCAAAAATTTTTTTGACTAAAGTTTTTCTGAACCAATTTTATTTGACCAAATTTTTTTTTTCAAAATTTTTTTTTCCAAAATTTTTTCGACCAAA